TCATAATAATGAGATAGCTAAGTCATAATTATGAGATAGCTAAGTCATAATTATGAGATACAAGTTTTGTTGTTTTATTTATCAGGGTGGCGGAAATGGGCTTCCACATTAAATAAAAGGAAATTTAAAATAAATAAAAGAATTATAAATTCCCTCTTGGTTGCCAGGTTGGTGATGCCCTCCTTTCGGGATTATGCGTTAAAGACAGGCGGACGCTGCGGAGCAAATCTGGCAACCATGAGTATGCGCTGGATCCAGCAGACAGTATGGCGGACAACGAAAGTGATTTAGAAACAGACGGGCTTGAATTAGCCCTGGACGCTCTTTATTTGAGACACTGCAGCGACGAGTCTTCTCTGAACAGCAAGGAGTACTGCTCTGAGTTTTGTGAGGTAGGTTAGGATCGTTTTCTTAGGCGAATCACTGAGTCGTTGTTTGTTTAGTGCTAACGCGGCTAGCCTCTCCAGCTAACATTAGCCTCCGATCTGGCACTATTTGTGCAGGTATTGCTGCAAAAACTCATCGCCAACTGTGCATTAATAACCGTATTTAATATTTTAAAAGCCAGKTAATTGTCTTAGCAACTCACAATAACGACAATGCTCATTGTCTGGCGTTGTAAACATCWCTTACCTTTGTTACTCTTTAGTAAAGCTAAGCTAATTGACACGATCCTTGAGTCTACTWAACAGGGAAGAATGCTATAAATAAAATAGTTTTTACACATTAAAGATGTATTTAAGTGCTACTCTGATGTAAATATATGTTGGTAGTTTATAGTAGGAGCTAATATAAATAGAAAAACACGATATATATTTAGTTTTTGTAATCTTTAACATACCTTCAATGCTCTAGTTTGACAAATAACTACAGAGCTGCTTTATTTTCTAGTGAATTGTTACAGTTTTTGCTTTGATAATTTGTGGTCATGAGCAGAGGTTTGTGAACTATAATATTAGCTGCATCTTATTTTCCACTTGGTGTTCTTTTATCGTTTACTAATTTTGTTTTGTTTTTTCTGTACAGCTTGTAGAAGAGTACACAGGTCAGTGGCATGTCCCTCTCCCTCAGCTCAAGGTGCTGCGGACTGCACTCTGCAATTTTACCAAAGCCACGGCTGCCTTTCCTGATGACTGTCAGCACATCCAATATGTCCTCAGCAGTCTGGCCTTGTGAGTTCCTTACCTTTCAGATGGACAACTCCTCTTATTTATTTGAATAACTATCACCACAAAATATTAACTAGCAGCACAGCATCTTTGCTAACTGCTTTGAGATGCTTTTTTGCTGGACTTACTCTCTTCCTTTTTGTCCTGTAGGAGCTTCTTTGAACTGATGCTGTTTTTCAGCAAAGAAGAGTTTGTGGAAGAGCCTTTAAAAGACATCCTTGATACTTTCCAGGTGATTGCATCTAATTGTTCTGCTCCTTAGTTTGGTTCATTACAACATGCAGTAGCAGGGCAGAAGAAATTGCTGCTTATAAGCGCTTCTCATTTTTAGGCTCGCTTCACAAACAATAGGCTGAAAGTACAGTAAACACAACAAAATTGATCTCGTTTTAGCAGGAAATTTCCTAAATATTTACCATTTGTAACTTAGGTTAATATTAAAAATGTCGTTATAGATCAACCACATTTTAAACTTTTATAATTTGATGTTCCACTAAAATATAATGGTTAAACCTTGAAGAAACTTTGACATAATTTTGTTTTTTTATGCAGGAATGCCACTGTAAACTACTGAGGCACAGGAACATCTACCTTCAGCATGTGAAGCAGATTATGAAGTGTGGAGGTCCATGGGAGAATCCAGTGTTGCAAGGAATTTTAAAAGAGGCAGAAATGCCACCAAATGAAGGTAGGCATCTATCTAAACCTAATTGTTGAGGAGGTTGACTGGAGTTTGGCCTTTTATGTTGTTTCACTGAAAGTTACTTGTAGCACACAGGTCTGTGGGGTAGTAGTTCTAATTTTTGGAAAGCTGCAAGTTTTATTTTCATATCATTAATTGTTTATTCATCACTATTGGACCATTTGTAAATTAGATTTAATATTGAAAATGTCATTATAGATCAAACACATTTTAAACTTTTATAATTTAACAATTTGAACTTCTCAGTTCAAATTCTTAGAATGAGAAGTTTTGTGTTTTTTGTTGCATTACGTTGAGCATTTATAATGAAACTAGACATCGTCCTTGATTTATTATTGAAGTAGTCTTGTTCTCTTGCAAACATGAAAATTATTATTCACAAAATGATTTTAAGTGTAACATTTTGAAAAGTATTTGTTGATGATGATCTTTTTTTGTTTGTTTGGAAAATACTCTTTAACAGTCAAATTTCTTCTGCACAGTTGAGAACTACTTGGGTTCAGAATTGCCAATATTCCTGGAGCTGCGGGTTCGATATCTGCAAGCCTGTGAACGAATGCAGGAAGCCATGGCTCTATCTAAATGCTGTCTGGAAAATCATGAAACTGGAAAGCATCTGTACTTCCATCAGGCCTACCTGACCTGCCTTTACAAGGCCTCACTGTATGAAAATCTCCAAAAAGAAGTAAGACGCAAAGAACACGACAAGCTAAAGAAAAGGATTAGTGATATTCATCATTGTTGTCCATGTAATCATTGAAACAATGTTGTTCCTCAGATGGCAGAAATAGATGGCCGTGATGCAGTGGAGATTATTTGCAACACAGAGAGTGTGGAGAAAGATGAACTTTTGTTGTCATTGTGCAAAACGTTTCTCATTCGGCAGCTAAATAATGGGGACATGTATTACATCTGGTAAGTGTGACATTCGTACAAGTATGGTGCATTATGCAACATATACTGTATATGTATATATATATTTTTTTCTCCTATGCAAAACAGCATGGTTGGTATGACATTAACCATGCTTCAAGACTGATTCATTTATTGATTGATTCCCCTGCATGCTGTCAGATTAGCTCCAGACCATTTTAAACATTGACCTTACAAGAACTCAACTTTATATTTTTGTTGTTGTTACAGTTGACTGAATTCTGCTAAATGAATACTAAAGGTCAATGTTTCCAAGACATTGCCCTGATCACTACACTGCCCCATTAAATGTAGCTTCTTTTAGAGCATCCTGCAGCCTCAATGTTTTAGATGTATTTATCTGTCTGTGATGTCCAAAAATATCAATTATCATTAGTCCAGACAGGCTTCATTTCTTTATTGCACAGCTCTGATGATCATGGTCCTGCTGTTAAAACTTTAAATGGTAGTGACACAGATTGATGCATTTTACAGGAGACCAGTTATTATCCTCACCCGTTTTAATGTTTTAGCTTGGATGGATAGATGATTTTAATGTTTTAGCATTACAGATTAAATGATATACAGTATACTTGGGACAAAAATATGTTTTATTTATTTATTTATTTATTTATTTATTTATTTATTTTAATGTGCAGGGACTTGGTTTTCATCTGGAGCAGGTTGTATCTTAGGGCCCATCCCTCTCGACAAGGATTCCTACCTGAGTGCTTACAGCTAGCGTCTTCTGTTACCAATGTCAGAGCCATCTTCCCTTTCATCAAACTGGTCACTACAGAGGTGAGAATTCCTGCAGTGTTAAAATAAATATAACAAACAAAAACACATCTGCACATTGTCTTAGACTTAATCATAACACTTTGAATGATTAACAATTAAAATATCCCTTCCTTTAAATGTTGAATATACATAAACACAGTTGAAACTTACTACTTTTGTATGTTTCATACTAAAATGTACCTTTTTTAAATAGTTTAAATCATTTAAGTTTTCCTATGTGCAACATTTAAGTTTTTTAATCCATTCTTTTTTTTTCTTGAAATAGCTGGGCACTGAAGGGGTCCAGGTCTGTGTGGAGCTCTGTGCCAGAGCCTTACAGCTGTGTGATGCGCAGGCTGACTCTGTAACCCAGTCCCTGGTCTGCAAGACGATCGCCTTCCTGTTGCCTCATGACCTGGAGATTTGTCGAGCGTGTGCTCTGCTTGTTTTTTGCCAAGAACGAAGCCTTGAGGCGTACCGAACTGTCTGCCTGCTTTACATGCATCCTGATGAGGAGCAGCATCCTCATAATAACCCTGTCCGGACTAATGTTCGCTTTCATATTCTGCAGGTTTGTACATATAAATAATATATAATTATACAGATGTCACATGTCTTATGACCTGTGCATTTTGCCATTTTAATTTCTTTTCTCTTTTATTTTTAGATGCTCAAGGAGCGCCTGTGTTTTGACCCAGAATTTTGGAACCTTTTCGCTCTCCGGACTCATTGTTTAGAGTTGATGAGTGACAACATAGTGAAGGATGCCGTACTTATTGAGATAAAAGAGGAAGAGGAGAAGGCATACCACGAGGAAGAGGAGAAGGCATACCACGAGGAGCTCTTACCAAATAACCGTATAAATGAGTCATGCACTGTAGGCTTCAATTCACGCCACTGCACTCAAACAGCACTTGTGAATCAGGACCACCTACAAAAGCAAACTGTAGATGTAGAAGAGAAAAAGTGTGTTGTACCAAACAACACTTCTCTAAAGAGTAGGAAATGGAGGCACAGACTCAGAGAGCGAAGGCAGTCCTTGTCTGATGATGAGTTTGAACCAGGTAATGATCCAGAGTTCAAATATAATGTTAAATCTGCTTCTCTGAGGAATAAACCGATGTACTCACTGAGAAAAAATCACTCTATCAGAGAGCATTCTGCCTCTGTTAAGCTCCCTCGGAACCGCAAAAGAGAATACCTGTCTAGATGTGTTAAGAGTCAAATTCTTAAAAGGAAAGGTCGGAAGAAGAGATGGTTGCAAGGTATCCCAAGGTTGGAACAAGCGCAGACTTGTAAAGAGAAGAAGCTCATCGTTGGAGGCGAAAGACGAGGAAGAAAGCCTTTACCAAAACCGGAGCTTTCTTTCCCTGATAATGAAATATACCTTTCAGAGGAATCTTCTGGTTTTGAGGCAAAGACAAACACAAAAGACACCCAGCCAAATATGCTTTATGAGAATATTAAACTTGTGATCAAATGTGAAGAGAAAGAAAATGGGTTTGAGAATCTGAGGGATACTACAATGGAAAATGGAGAAGACTCAAACTTAGTTTGTGGTCATAGTCCAAGTAAACCCAGCCAAGAGGAACTACAAACAAAGCTGGAGGCTAAACTATGTGATGATCCCCAGAGTCGGGGTCAAGCAGCTGTTCCTGCTGCTGAAGCTAACCCTGAACTTGATGGTCCACTTTTTGAGTTCCTTGATAATCCAGTGGAAATGTTTCACAGTTACTCCCTTCTATCCGGAAACATTGATGAGGAGACACCACAACCTCCAGAACCCAGTGCATTGGATGAAATTAACGGTGAAGCAGAACAGGAACCCAAGCCAGAACCAGTTACTAAAGTTTCAAAATCTCAGGCAAGTTATTTGCATTTGTTGATCCTATTCATTAACCTACCTATGCATTGGATCTCATAAGATACTCAGTTGCTTTGTTTTGTAGTTCTATCATGTTCTGCTCAATCTCATGCACAATTTTTTTCCCCCTTTTTTTTCAGGTAAAAGCTGGCTCAACATGGAGAGAAAGAGTACTTCGCACTCAGCTGTATGGACATTTGATACACTTTTGCAAGGTCTGCGATAAAACCTATAAGGGTTTGAATGTCATGAGACATGCAGTCTCTCATCTAAAGAATAAAAGACCAAGGTGCATACTCTGTGGAAAACGCTTTAAACTGTTTCATTTGGCCAAAAAGCACATTTTGGACCACATCGATGAAATGTGCAAACAGAAACCGGACACAGAGAAAAAGCTCCCTGCAAACGGTATCAAGGAAAACGTGGGAAATGAGTGCCAGCCTCAGGATGAAAATCAGAATTCTGATTCTAAACAAAAAACTTCTGAACAGAAACCTAGAGGCAAAACGAAAACAATTCTTAGCAGGAAAGACCGCATCATCAAAAACATCCGCACTCTCATTAAAAGATCTTGGGTGCTTTGCAAAAAAGGTCAAAACCCAGATGCAAGTACAATAGAAAAACAAATGGACTTCAAGGATGAGCAGGTAGTCATTACGGATGATCTGGTGATAATAAAAGATGCAACTTTGATGGAGACAAAAGGGGAAGAGTTGAATGAGTCTGGAGCAAATGGTGTTAGTGTGGACAAAACGTATCATCTGTGTCCATCAGAGTCATGTGACAAAGTATTTCTGAAGATTGGCGGTACACTGTCGAGGCATGCTATCAAACACCATATTGATGAAAATGGTGTGCTAGAAAAGGTTTTCGTTTGGGCCAAACACAAGTGCAGCTTTTGTGGCAGGCAGATAGACTTCCTTCCGCAGTTCAAGGACCACATAAAGCTCCACAACCTCCCTCTTCCTCTCTTCTGCTATCAGCAGGGGTGTGAACAGCGCTTTTCAACTCAGCATGATTTAAGGGATCATATCAATACTCACACGCCCTTATTGCCTCAGTGTCTATACCCAAAATGTGAGAAGATTTTCTCAAGTATACATGGACTGTATGACCACGAATGGAGGCACTACATTCCAGTGCCACAGCGAGAGGAGCTGGAGTTGGGACCCAGTAAATCGATGGATCCAAGCGAAGAAGCACCATGGAAGCAAAGAGTAAAGGTGGAGGAGATTTGGCTTCAGAATAAAAAGAATCAGATGGAGACTCCGACTCGAGTTTTTCACACAAATTGGATTAAATTGGAAGATGAACGCTGTGAAAAAAGTATCACTGACAGTTTGAATGAACCTGAAGCTGAGAGATGTAAAAGTGTCCCAGACAAAAGTCAAACTTTGTCTGTGCACGATGATGGTTCAGCAACAACAGTCAATCATGAGCACAAGGCTGATGATGTTAAACCAACTGTAAATGGAAATGAGGAGGTGATGACAAAGATAAAGGAAGAAATCCTGTCCACTCCCCATGCTGCCGTTAAAACCAGTTCCAAGAAGAAAGCTGAAAAGAAGAAAGGTGGAAAAAAACCTCGGGACTGGGATATCATAAATGTCAAAAATTCCACAGAAACTACCACCTTGGTTGAGGGAATTGAGAAGAACATGGCAGAGCCGCACATCACCGAGCACAAAACTTTCAAGCCTGAAGATCCTGCCTATGCGCCGTTTGTAAAAGCCCCCTTTATCCGTCCTCCACCTTCCACATACCTAGATGAATCTCTGCTCTCGATGCGCAAGAGGAGGGCCGTCGATGAGCCCCCTGTCCAAAAACCCTCCCACAACCGTTATAAGAAAAAGAAAGAGGCCGAAAAAGAGCAGCAGGAGCTTGTAGACCCAGAGCTGAAGGTCAGACATCGCTGTGACAAATGTCTCGCCTTCTTCAGCACCTTAGAAGAATTGCAGAAACATCAAGCACTCAACACCTGCTCTTCTCTCTTTGGTTTTGATTCTGACGATGAAAGTTAGCATGATGGATTTACTGATTGAGACAGTGCAGCATAAAACCTCTAAGCTTTTCCAAAAAAAAAGCCACTTATTATTATTTTTATTTCACGTCTCCGAATAGGAACGTCTACTGGATTTTGTTGCATTTATGTTATTAAAAGAAAAGAAAGCACTAAAATATCTCATTTGTTAAAAGCAATAAAATATCAGACCATTTTGTCTTAATTTAATGTAATTATATATTGCATTATTTGACCATTTTGTTTTTGTTTCATGATTATTTTTCTGAAAACTAAAAGAAAATCTAGGATTTTCTAAATGATTTATAACAAAGGCTGTTAAAAATTGCTGTTAAATTCAGTGAATTTCTTCACAATTGGTCCACATCAGTTTAAATTGTCAGTGTGTAAGAATTTAACTCATCTTTGTGCTTAAAAATATAGTTTTCCAAATAAATTAGACCCCCATTTTGAGCACATTGCAGATATAATACAGCCATGACCAACAGTTTTGGCAGTGATGTTTTGAGGCTGTATCATGACTTTATGATGCACTGAAAAACATCTTTCACAAGTTTCAGAAGTTTTTATTACCAACATTGTCAACGTTATACAATGTTACATTTTGTTGAAGTAACATTTTAAGTTCTAGCTAAATGATTATGTTTGCCCCCCCCCCCCCCCCAAATTGCTTAATAGTCTTCTAAGTAAATCTTACACATTTTAATTAAAAACAGCTACCTTTAAGAGTTAAAACGGTGCTTCGGGATAGCTGTTTCTGTAAGTTAAACAGGGTTTTCTATTATGTTACTAAAAAAACAATCATCTACCTATAAACCAAAATGTCTGAAATGTATAACGCTACATACAGTAACTTTAATTTTCTGTGTGTCATTGATAATGTGCTTATTTTGACTAGTGCCAAAACAGAATCAGTGTTTGGAAAGTAGAAAGATGAACTTATTAATCACTGACGGTCCGCTTTACATTCAGTTAATTTTAAATCCAGCTTTTGATTAAATATTTTAGTTTTACTGTACGAATTTTTTTAGATGCTTTTTCTGTTGAATTGTTTTTATTGAATTGGTTTGACAGGACTGTGAACTTAAACCTGCTTATCTATGTACAAATGTTAATAGGTTGATTTTTGTAAATGGCTTATATATTTTTTTTAAGAATGAGGTGAATAAACAAATGTTAAAACAGAAAATTGTCATGGATAACTGAGTTTTTTTAAGGTGACAGTTTACAGAACATGAGAATTTTGTGTAAAATGTCATTGTAGTTAGGGCTGCACAATATCAGAAAAACCTGCGATGTGTGATAACATTGCTTAAAATTGGGATGACGAAATGAAGAAATATCTATAGTGTTGATATCTTTCTGCGCTGGGTTTAAAACACAAAACTAAGACATCATTTCCATTCCAACATTTTTTTTTCATTTATGTGCAACTAGACCGCTGCTGTATTAGCAGTCAAACAACAAATTGCATGCAATAGTTTCGACTAAATACTGAAAAACGCCCGTTGCTATATTTTTTAAATAAAACCCTCTGAAAAAAAAAAGAACTTTAAAAAAAAGTTAAACCATTTTGTTTATCAGACAGATGTTGACAAAACAAGCATTTGAGCCACCCATTTATGGCAGTTTATGCAGGTTTTCGCGATGTGCCTATTACACACTGTTATCRCGATGACGATTTGCGCTATATTGTGCAGCCCTTATTGCAGTGCTTAAAAAGTGACCTGAGAGGAATCTAGAGCAAATTTTCTGTTACTATTTGAGATTAAGTCATGTATCGGAACACTTTCCATTTTACTTTGACCATGTCAAGTTCAAAATACCAGTGTGACAAAATGGGTAAAATTGTGTATTATGCCAAATTTGCATTTGTAGGAAATGCATGTCAGAGGCAATTTACTGGTACAAACACAAAATAAGTATGCAAATGCATTAGATGACAAGGTAGACAAAAGAGAATAAAGGTCTTGATTGATCAAATGTCAACTGCTGGAGAAAGCATTACTTTTTATTGGCGGTTTGGTAATGCACATGCATGAAAATAATGGCTTATTGAAGCCAACTGCATGCAATCCAGTGGTAACAGGAAAAATAAACAGACTCAACATGTTTCTTTATTCGGCATTGCATATTTACTGTTGAACATATTGCTTAAGGAAAGGGGATAACAATGKTTTTATTGAAATTATTTAAAAAGGCTTTTGCATAAACGTTTCCTGATACATGAGGTAATTTTGAGGAGGTACAAAGAACATCGTCGAAAGGTAATAATCCCTTTTGTGCCATCCACTTTACCCATTAAATGTCTTTTTCTCAATGTAATCAGCCTCTTCACTTGATAACAGCTAAGTGTACTAAAGGCTTGCATTTAAATATAAAGTATGTATTGTAAAGACAAGTGTGCAATCCTGGAACACAGGCCTGCATTCAAGGTTTTCCAGTATCCCATGCAGTTAAAGGCATTCCAGCTCAGACACATGCTAATTCAGCTGTTTGCTTTGGTGCTGCTAATAATTTTATAAAGTAAAGGAAAATCTGCTGTTTTACAAAGATGTACAGAATGAGCTGTCAGGACTTAAAAAGCATGCAGCATTTATTAGTGCGGTGGTAAATAACCCAGATACTGTTTAAAATACAGCTCCACCATAATAACTTAAAATAATTTAAGCAAGGTAAGTATCATATATTAAATATTGTGTAATGCTGACTTGAAAAAAAAAATACATTTCCAGAAATAAATTAAAACTCAKGTATCTAACCAAATTAATTCTTCTTTATAAGTTAGACTGATAAAGATTCACACACCTTCATAAATGCAGCTCAAAAACTCCCATGTAGTTCAAAAGTGAACAACCATTTATGAAAAAGGCTACAAATATGTCTCGGTAGCATTAAAAGTCAGCTATAAACATGCAAAGTGTCAAAGTGCGTTCCAAAATTTAAGTACTTCATAGTCTTATTTTGCTAAAAAAAACGTAGCAGTAGCTCTTTATTAAAGACTTTCAAAGGAGGACTTGGATCAAAAGGAAGGTGTAAGGATAAAGGCATATATAGGAAGGGGAGGATTACCTCTGAAGACAGGTAAAAACACTGAATAATTGATGCAACGGCACTCAAACGTGCTTTGTAAGTTCAGCCAAAGAACTTACCAGCAGTTATATGCACATAAACCTGGATCACATGCTTGGATATGTAAAATGTGTATCCAGGATATTAAAGTAAATTTTCTTGAAGTGTAAAACCCACAAAAGCTATTATTATTCTTATACGCAAAAAGACGAAATGAACATTTTTGCCATTTGTAGACCTAAAAACCCAAGTTTGCACCACTTGAAACAGTGGCTTTATGAGTTTGAAAGGTTTTGATATGGCTTGTCAAGGTAACATCTGCTGGGAATAAATGTCCACCCCATGAATAATTCAGCCAGTGTTGAACCAAACTGTAATTGTAATCTTTCATTCCTGAGTTGCTGGCGAAGACAAGTGAGCGCGGAGCCCGTAAGGATTACAGTTAATAACAGAATATGCTTAACGTGGCTATCAGCTGATCTGCTGGAGCACGAAATGTTGAGTGTGCAAAATCTGATTTTCTACTTGTGTAACAGCCACAGTGGGGTTTAGAAGATATAACTAAGACTTTAACGCAAGAGGAAGCCTACAGCAGGATTATGTTTTAGAGGTGCAGTGCAAACCTGCCTCTGTCACAACTACATTTGGTTTAAACTTCAAAGTCAGTCTTCTGGATTCAAGCAAATGTGACAGAGTATAGAAAATTTAAAAAAGCAACCTTAAACAAAGCATTCATGCTCAGTGGGAGCTGTTGGAGCTCCAGTCATAAGGGAGGAAGCTGACTTTAGTCTTCCCAGCAGAAAGGACACCCTGCAGGCTGCTCTTCTTTGGAGAGTCTCCCATATGATCCAGCACCCATTCCAGCAGCTATAAGAAAAACAAAGCCATAAATAAAGAAAAGCTGAACGTGTTCGTTGATTGTGTGTGTTTCTGTAAACGATTTCAAACGACCTTCTCATCGGTGCCTCCAAAGTCAGCCTTGTACCACTTAAATATCTGACTGAGCCRTACTTCTCCTTTCCCAGGATCCACCACACAGCCACTGTCGTTCTCCAGGAAGGCTTCAGCTGCTGTGCGGAGCTGGGTGTCAATATCCTGAGAGGGTTTCAGTACATCAATAATGAGATTCGACCGCACACTGTATAGTGTTGGCCATCATTGCCTTTGTAATTAGCAATAAATCGACACAAGAATCTAAACTCACCTCTGGACTGTAGGCTTTGATAGGTGGGCAGCCCTTTGCACCACAGTTCAAGGCAAAGTGAACGAGAGGCTCAGCATCTGGAAGYGCCACCTTGTGGACAATAAAGTGTCATTTAGTTACTCTTAAAGTCTTAACTTTGGTTATAAAAACTGAACAGTTTTTGACCACTTTTATTACCAAGGAACTAACTATTGTGGTCCTAAATAAATCTAAAAAGTATAATGGTTGTTTATTAGGTATAATTTGTATGCTTCAACCAGTCATAATCAGATTGTAAGTCCACCTCAATTTTATGAGTGAAAAGCAGCAAAGCTTGGAAACAACTGGTCTAAAGAAAGAGGTCTGCGACATGATTAAAACGTGTAAAAACCTGAAGCCGTGGGTCTGTATTGGAGAAGGGCCTTCGCAGCTGTGCAACACCTTTTCTGTTCCCTCTCAGGACACCGTTTTCTATGTCTTGCAATGTGAAAACCTCTCCTCCAATAAAGTAGCTCACGTAGTTGAAGAACTGTAAAAAAACAGAACGGTTTACACGAACAGAAAGCAACACATTTGACAACAAATTAGAAAAGGGCTAGTCTAAAATCAACATGGTAGCTGTGTTGGTTTTGTTGAAAGTGTTCATGGTCTTTAGATTGAGGAGCATTTTTTGGTGCAGCTGTGTAAACCTACCCTGTACCTCTGCCACATGTTGGTGGGGACCCCCAGCCGTAGGTACCCGTGGATGACTAAGGCATTGTAGATGTTGATGAAGAAGGCCAGCTTCTCCTCCCGGCTCAGTGACGGCAGCTCTACCCTTTGCAGCTGAATGGCTAGCTCACAGTAACGCTCAAAATCAGGGTTCGCAGACAATCCTTTGTAGTCCACAGACTACAGGAGGAGACAGAACAGCTTTAAAAATGCTACAATCAAAATTGCATAAGGCATTTTTTTTATTATGAGAATTAGCTTTAACATTATTGTAATGTAGGCAAGCAGCCAAAAGCTTTGCATCGCTCAGGATATTACCTTGCCATCAGCAGAGAGATGCTTCGAGAACAATTTCAGGATCATCTCTCGTACAAGCAAAGACAGCTCAGCAGCTGGAAAACAGCAGAGTCAAAGCTGGTAAAAACGGCTTTGAAAGTTTTGATTTGCTGCTCAGTGTGAGACGAAGCCGAAACTAAATCAACAAACAATTAGAATGTTTTTTTCTTAAAAGCTAGGAGTAGAGTTAGTTTTTTAGTGTGCAGCACGGAGCTGGGCAACAAGCCTCCCCACCACCACAAAATACACCGAAAATCAAAAATAAGACAAACATAACAAATGAGTTACGTTTTTCGGGAAACTAAACCAAACATGCAGCAAAGCAGAACAAGGTTTTGGAGCTGAGGTTTACTAATATATTGTTAGCACAAATTAAAAACTATGACTTTAGCTTAAAAGCTCTGCAAAAAGTGAAGAGAACCCGGGCCGTGCGTACCAAATCCACAGTCAAGAGAGAACATTAGAAGGTTGAGGCTCAGCAAGAAGCTAGAAGGTGATCTGCACAAGCTCCAAGTCTGATCATCTCCTGACCTACCCTGTACCGGTCTGCAGGCTGCAGTTTGTCCTGTACAGTGTGTCCATGGTGTGTTTTCCTTCACCAAAACAACCATCTTTCTTCCCACAGCCATGTACACTGACCATGTACTTCCTCTGCATCAGTGACTGCCCTGTTTTACAGGCCTCGGCTCCATCTAGCACACACACACGCACACRTGCGCGGTCACAGTCAAGAACTGAATTTGACTTGATGAATCAGTCCGGTGAGTTTTCACATTTCACATCAGAAAGCTTGACCGCCTTACTTACCCATGCCCTTCTCTTTTCGCAGCCAGTCAACCAGCCGGCTGCCTGAGAAGCTCTTTTTCTATAAAGTCAGTCCCCTACGACTGCCAATCACACCGCCCTGCTTGAGGTCCTCTATCAGGTCAGCCAGCTCATCTCTCTCACGCTTAAACTCTGTGGGTTGTAACATTCCAAAGCTACGCACAGACACACACAGGTATAGATGTTCAAACCTACAAATATGCAGAATGTGGGTAACACTGCAGTCCAGTTTAATCTCAGTCTGTGTGTGAATATTCTTATACTGATGGTTAATAACTAAGCAAATAATATTTCTATTTAATATGGTACATGGACTGAACTTATACAGTGCCTTATCAAGTCACATGATGACCTTAAAGCAGGGGTTCTTAACCTTTTTGACCTCGGGGCCCAATTTATTGAACATAAAAATGGCACGAGGCCCAGTCACACATTACCAATGTACAGATTAAAATGATAATTATTCTAAATCTTGGTTTAAGTTTTTATTGTATTTACATTATAA